GTGGAGGGTTTTGGGCAAGGAGACCACGTCCACATTGTGTCTGTGCTCAAGTGTTGGACTGCTGCAGCGGGTGGCTGTGGCTTTTGGGGACATTTGATTTGTGTGCGTCACAGTTGCCCGTGCGTCATCTTATTTTTGTGAGTGTATTATATCATTTGTTACTTACATAAAAGACTCTTAAATAGAGCTGCAGAAATTAGATTAATTAGTCAATAACCTCCCCCCAGCACACACACACATAGAAGCAAGACCCCCAGACTGAAAAACACGCTGGTCTCTTTGTGGTGAGTTTGTCTTTTATGGTCAGTTTGTGGTAATTTTCTGTCTCTTTATAATTGTTTAGAGTCTCTGTGGTCATTTGCGTCTCTGTTCTTGGTCTCTTTGGTTACTTTGTGTCTCTTTCTGGGCTGTTTTGTAGGCAAACTCCAGGGGCCCCCCGACTCCCTGAGGGCCCCTGTGCTCAGTGGGCCCTTTCAGTAATCTATCCATGGATGTCATGGAACCTGGAAATAGTTGGCATTTTTCTAAAAAAACAAACACTGAAAGCACTATTATTAAAATAGTTAACTAACTGATGAGTAGACTCTGGTTAGTTGCGGACTTCAGATCAATCCGTTTCTCAACCAATAAAAACCTAAGACATTTCAGTATGTGTGTGTGTTTGTGCCGGCAGCAACCTGAAGAGAAAATGAGTGTATTAATTCATTTTTGCACTAAATGTCACACACTCGTTTGACAATTGTGTCTGAGTCACTGATGTTTTTGCTGAAGTGTGCATGTTGCAGTGGGAGGTGGTCTTCTCGTGATGTTTAGTCATTGGTCAGGGAGCAACGTGACTGCTGAGGGAATGGGGATCTCCAGGACACCTTCTGGAAACTCTGGGTGGAAGGTCACAGCTGCATGCTAGTGGAGAAGGAGGGTGGAGGTGCAGGGAGAGATCCCACTTCCCATCCCAGTTTGGATCCGCCCCCCCTCCCCTGCCTCTGGGTATCCCCTCACACTGACACACACGCTCGTTGCTTGTCCGAGTCCCGATTGCTCACTGCCACACTGTTGCTCAGACTCGTCTCAGTTCAGTCCATGATGACGCACTGCACAGCAGAGGCCAAGCCGGCATGCATGTGCGCCATCACCAGCCTTGTCCGAGCACTGAGGAGTGGCCTGAAGTTGCTCCGAACCCTTTGGCTGCTCACCGGGTCGGATACCAACCAGCAGCAGCTGACCCAGACCTTTGACAGTGACCAAAGGGAGCAACCAGGGCTGTTTACCAGCAAAACTGTGGAGACAGGTTTAGAATGTTGTGGACCAGCACACCCTAGTGCAACTGTGAGTAGTCATGAGTGTCTTCTCTGGTAGGTTTTTCTGTGTCTGTGTATCTCATCAGTCTCATTTTATTTGTCAAGTTATTGAACTCCTTTGGTAATTCCTTCTTCACTTAAACAGCCATTTCTACATAACTCTTATCACCTGTTGTATAGTTTTTTTATGTCCTCAGCTGTGGCTGCTCCTGTTGGAGACTCTCTGTATCAGTCATGTGAGTGTAAATGGTGGTATACTGGGATGAGTTTTCATGTTAGCCCAGGCAGCTCTGCACCAGACCTGCACCTAGCAAAAAGGATATCCAGCTGTAAGTTGTTGAACTCTTTGTGTTTCTCTATGTGTGTACATGGACGGTGTTGGTGCTGGGGAGTCGTGTTACCACTATCATCTCTGGCACTGACCTGTCCTGATACTCAAACATGTCTGTACTGGAACAAACTGGTTTGAATTGACAAAATCATATTTCAGGGTTTTCTTCATCAGGATAGAGACACTTGCTGTTAGAGATGGGCATCGTTTCTAAAGGCTGGAACAAGTAGTTGATTAACAACAGTTTTGATATCTGATTAATGGTTTTTCAATGATAAAGCTAAATATTGGGCTTTTATTCCCTCTTCAGATGTGAGAATTTGCCTCTTTTCACTGTTTTACCCATCTCAGTCCTCTTACATGAACCCGTGTTCAGGAGCAGTAGTGAGTATTTAAATTTTTCATTGTGCATAATAAGAAAACCTGCCTGCAGCCAGACACATCCTCTGTCTGACCAGAGGTTAAAAACGTGTGCCGAGTTTAAGTTAATTCAATGGGACTGCTGTGATGTGTCTGCTGCTGCTCTGTGCACAACTGGATCACATCATAATACTGATTCATTCTGCTCAGGAGGCCTCCTAATGAGCCCCAGTGGTGGGCAGACAAGCGTCCTCTGCAGCTGTGCTAGGGGCTGCTCACTGGAAACCTGTTGAATGCACTGGTTATGTGCTCTTTTGTTTGTTTGCTGCCGGAACAACTCGACTTATCTGTATATATAGTGGCTTCAGGAAGTTTTCACACACCCTGACTTTTTCACACTTTATTGTGGTGTAGATTTAAAGATCCTCCTCCATAGATGTTTTGAGGCATATAAAAATAGCCTGTTATGGAATATATATAGTCTAACAGTTTTTCCACCAAAAGACTTATAATTAGCTGCGGTCAGTTACCGTGATGAAATAAATGAGTTGATCTTTGTTGAAAACAGAAATGAATGAGCGAGGACAAGAACAAAACAGGGAAAGGTTTATTATCTGTATGAGCACTTTACATGGATGTTTCAGCTTGTGAACCCCACGTTGATGTCTTCAAGTTAAAGGGACGCTCGCTCCACCAAGCTACAGGATAATCGGTTTGGAGTAAAAAGGTTTATGTCATCCTTGTGGAAGAGCCTCATCCCTGCTGCATCTGTTTTTAAATATACATTTGTGTAAACGGGGACAATAACAGGTTAGAAGCAGGTAAATTGTATGCAGGTGTGTTATTTTGCATCCCGTGTGTGTACAGCGCACAGGTGCAGGGTTTTCAGTTTTAATCCTGTGATTAAGAGGTGCTACATGAGCATCCTGTTGGGCTCTGATCCTCCATCTGTGTTCTGACTCACAAACACACACTTGTGTATATTCAACATGTCAACATTTCTTAACTCTGCGCCTTTTAAACAGTCAGCAGCATCCGAACTGGTTTTGTTTGTCAGTTAGCTGCAGTCTCTCAGCACTGAACTGTGTCCCAAGTCTGTGTCCAGTCACCTCAGTCTCATTTACATGCAGTGTGATGTTCTGTACTTGATGACATGCAGTGTAACCATGTGTGAAAGGAGCTATTGTGCATTATGAGGACTTAAACCTTGCTGATAACCCTCCTGTGCTTCTACTTAAAGCTCCTCTACCTAATGTCTTTTCAGCCTAGAGGCTCCAGTGAGACGCAAACCAAAGTGATATCATTACCTGCTCCTAACCGATCTCTAACCATCACATCTTATTTCCTAATGACAGCATAAACTACAGGTGCCTGGTTGGGACAAACTACAGCCTCCATTCTGAAGCTAGTGTTAGCTGGCTAACAGTAGAACACTCTGGTTACTGCTGACGTTACACTAAGCTCCAGTTCCTCCTAAATTAAAATCACTTTAATTCAACACAAAAGGTAAAATCCTGACCATGCTAGGTGGCTAATGCTACCAAAACAAACAGGTTAGCTTTAGATACTAACACATCCAGAAGGAAGAAGGCCACATCTGGATCCAGTCTGAGTCCTCTGGCTGCTTTTAACCCTCTCCATGTCAAATAGCCAAACCCATGTTAACCCTGGTTGTTGCTCTTTCTTTGTCCCTCTCTCTCTGTGCAAGAGACGCCACCTCTTCACTCTGGCAGCTGCTGGTTCAGACTTTTAGCTGCCCACAGCTCCTCCATGGCTGTTTGACATGACTTCTGGCGGCTGGAAAAACCCTTCTTATAGTTAAAGTACCTGAACACTTCCTCCACCACTGTGCTTCTGGCTCCGCCCCTTTCCGCTCCAGACTAAACCTTTTCCCATGAAGAAGATAGAGAGAGGCGCAAAGTGGAGACAAGATCTGACAACAGCTCAAATAAAGATAGAAAAAGTGAGAAAGACTTAGTGGGTGAGGGAGGGAGGCGAAGATTTCTCTGAGGCTGTGAGAGGTAGGCACAGAGGAAGGGAGTGGGAGATGAAACACGAGCTCCATTCTGTCACCTCATAGTCGTCGCACAGGAGCATGCTGGCACCACAGAGCCTCGGCTGCAGTCGGGACTGCAGGACCCATAATGCACTGGGACACCTGGCAGCCAGCACCTGGGAACTGCAGGTACGAGAAAAGGAGGAGGCAATAGAAATATAGACGGAGAAAGACGAAAGGAATATAGAGAAGATGAGAAAGCGGGAAGAGGTTGTTGACAGGTGCAAACACAGTCTGGATGTGTTTACCTGTTGGGTTTATTGCATCAATATCCTGAGCACACAAAGCAGACTGGGGAGCTTCAGGTGAAGATTGGTGCATGGCTGCTGTCGCTGAGTACACACAGGCTCACACAGTATGGTATCATTAGTCACTGAGCTGCAGGTGGAAGCAGGTATCGGGGCAGCTCCATGTCAACTGTGTGTGCATCCGTGTGTGTGTGTGTGTGTGTGTGTGTGTGTGTGTGTGTGTGTCATGATGTCCCGCCATGCGGGTGACGAACATTCGGAACTCTGTTCAACCTGTTGTGTGATTCATGTGAAGTATAGAAAAAAGGGAAAAGTCCACCTTCACACTGAAACACCCGGGTCTGTCTGTCGCCTGCTGCTCTGTGTTCTGTTTGTCTGAATACACCCACAGAACCGACCTGTAACCAGTGGTGGAAGAAGTGCTTGGATCCTTTACTTACTATATGTTAAAAAGTAACAATAAAACCGTGCAGGAATACTATAATACAATAATACAAGTCCATGTCCTGGATTCAAAATCCGACTTGTGTAAAAGTGCAGAGGTATTTGCAGAAAAGTGTTTGTTGCCTGTCTGTATGAACAAAAGCAGCAAATCATGACCCAACTTGATAAGATAAAACCAGCAGCTCTTCATCGTTTTGATCAAGAAAGTGACCGGCCAGCAAGTGTTCTGCTTCACCGGTGTGTCTGTCTGTGTGTGTTTACAGGATGACATGCCAATCAAAGAGATCAACATCACTCATCACGTGAAGGAGGGGTCAGAGAAGGCCGACCCGCGACAGTTTGAGCTGCGTAAAGTTCTGGGACAAGGCTCTTTTGGCAAGGTGTGTGAGTGTTTATTTACCTGCCAGCGCTTGTATGTGAGTCAGCCTTAAGTGTTTGTGTAAGTGTGTTTCATTTCCACTCAATTGCATGTAATGTTTTTCTAGCGCCAGTGTTTGAGAGCCTGTTGCCATGGAGACGGCAGGCTAAGGGCCCTTCACACTTGCTCTGAGTACCATCATCTTTATGAATGAACAATTAGCATCCCTGCTGTGTGTCTGCGTGTGCTTGTTAATTTACATAAGTATGACCTAGAAACCCTTCAGCACTTACTCTACTGAGCACATCACATAAAATAAATGCATACGTCTGTCTGTGTGTGTCCAGGTGTTCCTGGTGAGGAAGATCACGGGACCAGATGCCGGTCAGCTGTACGCCATGAAGGTCCTGAAGAAGGCCACACTGAAAGGTGAAGACAGAGCAAGACAGTTGCTTTCTACAAAATGACACTTTCCCTGAAATGTGTTCAAACCCAATAAACAACAAATTCCATTTTAAGTAAAAGCACAGGTGGATGCAACAGTTATGAGATCATAAGTTTTTTTGCTGGTGAACCTTCAGGTATATTTAGGTTCCTTAAAAAAAATGTGTGTAACTGAATTTGTCCTGAGCTGGGGAACAGCCTTGTTTGTTGACTTGTGCTGCTCTGGACTCACAGAAGAGCTTTTTGTGAATTAAGTTGTCTGCATTAGTTTCAGTGGAAAACTGTTCACAAGTGGATCCAGTGTGTTTGTTTTTGTTTGTGCAATCAGCCTCACCACAATGTGACTTCACAAATTACCATGAGACAGAGAGCTACAGAGGTGTAGGCAGAGAGGAAGAGAAGAAACAGATTCCTAAAGTGATGTTCATGTCACATCTGCCAGTGGAAAGAAACACACCCTACTCCTTTATTTTTGTGTGTACATGCAGCTTATTTCTGGGGTTTTTCTGGCTTCCTCTTTGTCTGAATTTGCTTCTTTCTGTCTATCATTTTGTCTTCCAGTTTCTTTTCTTGATGCTTTTCTTGATTCAGTTACTCATCTGCTGCCATCTAGGAGCCTCCAGCCAAAATCAAAGCTGAATAAGTGAGACTGTTTGATTTGGGCTTTTCAGGGAGAGCTTATCTGGTTGTTTTTTTTTTCCCCACTTTCTCTTCGTGTGTGTGTTTCCAGTGCGTGACCGGGTCAGGACAAAGATGGAGCGAGACATCCTGGTAGAGGTCAATCACCCCTTTATTGTCAAGCTGCACTACGGTGAGTCAGATCTCCCTGATGAGTCACCAGCACTATAGCAGCCGATCGGAGCTCATTACATCTCTTCTAGCAGGCAACACACTTGGCAGTGGAAAATTTCAGCAAGTAGAGAAACTTCTCAGATTGTGTCTTAATTCACTTACTTCCTTCCTCCTTGCAGCGTTTCAGACAGAGGGGAAGCTCTACTTGATCTTGGATTTTCTCAGAGGGGGAGATCTCTTCACTCGTCTCTCTAAGGAGGTAACACCTGTTTTGGCTTCGTTGCATTAAATAGAATGGATGCGCTGTTAGAAAGCTAGTGGCACCGCTCAGCCGTTTTCAGCGAGCTTTTCCCAGTGGCCACTCGTGGTACTGCAACAAAAAATCTCCCTGGGGCCCAAAAAGTATAAAACAAAACAGTACTTCAGAGTATATCAGGTAGTTAACTTTAGTTCCACCTTTGCCGCCTGCAGCATGATGAACATGATAACGCATCAATAACTGTCTAAGAAATTGATATACATTAATGTGAAATGTGTACGAGTACTTTTATTGTTGCTGTTTCAAGTTTATTTTGATGCTAATGCTTTTGTACTTTTGCTTAAGTAACAGTTTGAATGTTTTTACCACTGTGTGTGTGTGCGCGTGTGTGTTGTAGGTAATGTTCACAGAGGAGGATGTGAAGTTTTACCTGGCAGAACTTGCTCTGGCCCTCGATCACCTTCATGGCCTCGGCATCATTTACAGAGACCTCAAGCCTGAGAAGTAGGCTTACACACACAGACACACACACACAGACACACACACACACACACACACACACACAGAGTCCTGCTGCATTACAAACGTTTGCCTGCAGACGTGTCCTTCAGAATATAAAAAGCGTTTGTGTTGTTTCAGCATCCTTCTTGATGAGGATGGACACATCAAGCTGACGGGTGCGTAATATTACACCTTTGTGTACTTGTGCCTGTTTTGCCTGCTTACAGTACGTGTACTCCTGCTTTCGTTTCTGCTTGCACGTGCTCTGACTGCAGCTCCTGCTGCTGTAAACTGTGATACCTCCTTCATCTCTGACTTCTGCCTACGTGTTTGTGTTCAGACTTTGGCCTCAGTAAGGAGTCGATAGACCACGAGAACAAGGCCTACTCCTTCTGTGGGACAGTGGAGTACATGGCTCCTGAGGTGGTGAACAGGCGAGGACACACACACAGCGCTGACTGGTGGTCATACGGCGTACTCATGGTGAGAGGACACTGCTGCTGGTTCGCAGGTGGCAGAAAGGGATATTTGTCTTGTTCCTCCCTGTGGTTTGTGTTCACTTACGTTTGATAAAGCTGCAGAAATACTTTTGACTTCTACCAATTAGATCTACACCAATCAGCCACAACATGAAAACCACCTGCTTAATTTTGTGTAGGTCCTTTTTTGCTGCCAAAGCAGCAGCTCTGACTCGTCAAGACCTGGACTCCGCAGACCTGTGAAGGCGTCCTCTGCTATCTGGCACCAAGCAATACACTGAACTGATCTGTCAGCAAAATACTTCTGCTACTATCATGCGATTATTTGTTCTGATCTTTTCTGTGACCATGGTGGTGTTTATTGCATCACAGAAGGTGTTCTGGTCTCAGAGTTTATTCAGTTATGTCGTCCCTGTTGTAGAGGTCACTGTGTGCAGACTTTACCACTGTCTGATCCTTTCAAGGAGCCGTTGCAAAGTGTAACGCTGCGTGTTGTTCTCTCTTTTAGTTTGAGATGCTAACTGGAACACTGCCGTTTCAAGGCAAAGACCGGAAAGAGACGATGACCATGATTCTCAAGTAAGACACTTTATACTGTCCGTAAACTGCTATCCCGTCACCAGCTAACAGCTTTAATTACAGGTTGCTGTACATCCGAGGAGAAACCAAGAGAGACTGAGTGAGCGAAAGTGAATGATTTATATTAGAGGAGATAAAATGCAGTGTGCAGGAAGAAGAGGCGAGATAAGAGAAATGGATTTGAGTGTTCAGAGGGAAGAGACACAGGAGGTGAACAAAGATTAGGAGGGAAAATCTAATCATGTTAGTCTGTCAAAAAAACAGTAAATATTAACCCCTCCTTTTCCTCTGTCGTCTCTCTCAGTGTAGAAAAATGCTCAGTGTGCAGAATGCTGAGTGTTTCCTGTGTGCAACATTTCATAGGCTAGTCTTTCATATACTTTCAGTTTGGATATACAATATGGCCATCTGGAGACATCTGCACCTCTCTGCAGTTATTCTGTTTCTCTAACGCTCATTTTTCTGTTTTTCCACAGAGCCAAGTTAGGGATGCCTCAGTTTCTGAGTTCAGAAGCTCAGAGTCTCCTCAGGAATCTTTTCAAGCGTAACCCAGCCAACAGACTAGGTAACACTCGAACTGAGAAGTACTCGATTAAGGTTGGAAGCCTAATCAGATTTCACTCTGACTGTAGCATCTGATCCCGCTCTTCACTGAAACTATTTATACTATTTAACGTTTACTCTTCAATCTGTCCAACTAAGGTCTGACAGATTTGGTATTTTTGGAGCAGAATTTAAACTTGGGTTCTGTGATTTTGAACAGTGAGGAGTTTCACTCTAATGATGAAGCAGTGAGGCTGTGGTTCCCTGCCCCCTGCTGGTCTCCGCTGCTCTGACAGCTGATGTGTTTATGTGCAGGAGCTGGACCAGATGGAGTCGAGGAGATCAAGAGGCATTGCTTCTTCAGCAGCATCGACTGGAACGTCAGTGTTTTACAGACATGCAGAAACAACCAAAAGCTTATTTCTGTCATCGCTTTTCCCCGGTTTGATTTGTCTGACGATTTTCCTTCTGTCTGCAGAAGCTGTACCGCCAAGAGATCCACCCTCCCTTCAAACCAGCTGCAGGGCGACCCGATGACACGTTCTATTTTGATCCTGAGTTCACAGCTAAAACCCCCAGAGGTGAGACTGTCACTCCGCCTGCAGAGCTGAACCACGCTCTCAGTAAAATCTGAATTCATTGAGCTGTTCCTGTGTGTGTCTCAGACTCTCCGGGAATCCCTGTGAGTGCTAACGCCCGCCAGCTGTTCAGAGGGTTCAGTTTCGTGGCTATAACAGAGGATGAAACACAACCAGTGCCCAATACCATTGTACAGGTACAAACACACTTGTATTCACTAATTTAACATGTCTCAGAGGAAAAAAACTATATTTACTGTTATTTTTTATGTCATTTTAATCTTATGAAGTCTACAACAAAGGAGACATATACACAGCTACAGTACGTTACACAGGGGCATAGCGTTATTGTCTGATGATAAAGACAAGTTGTTTCAGCCTTGTAGAAAGAGTACAAGTCATCTTTTCCATAGTGGGATGGTTTCTCTGAAGCATTTTTACTTGTCACGAAAGTCTTCCAGAGGAAAATATCCAGTTTAAAGAAACAATCAATATTAAATCCAAATATCCCTTATTTTAAATGTATTTCATTCTTTCTTTTAACCCTTATTTAACCAGGTAAATCTCAGTGAGATTGTTCAAGAGTGTCCTGACCAAACATTACAGAAGAATCCATCACGCCCCCTACTAAACAGTATGTCATAGATACAAATCAAAACCCCATAAAACACACTGAATAAGAGACGGTAAAAAATGTAAAACTTTGAAAAACAGTCTATGTCCAGGGAGCTGCACACATGTTCTGCTTGGACCTTAGGTACAGAGAACTGTTACCTGCTAGTGTTACTATGCAGGTAACAGTTCAAGAATGGCTGTGTAAACACAGTAACACCAGTGGAGGCGGGCCAGCCGACCCCAGCGCAGTGCAGTCACAAGTTATTAATCATAATAAGTGTATCTGTTGTGCATGTGTATGTTTGTGTAGCAGCTCCACAGAAGCACATCCCACTTCTCAGATGCCTACGAGATCAAAGAGGACATCGGCGTCGGCTCCTACTCCATCTGTAAACGCTGCATACACAAAGGAACTGGCATGGAGTACGCAGTCAAGGTAAAGCAAGAGTTTGTGGCGTGATGTCTACGTGCATCTTCCTACCTCTGTGAAAGCTGCTCGTCTGTGTTACAGATCATCAACAAAGCCAAGAGAGACCCGACAGAGGAGGTGGAGATCCTACTGAGATACGGACAGCACCCCAATATCATCACCCTCAAGGATGTGAGTCATACTGAGGGAGATTCACTCAGGGAATCCTGGTGCTCAGCAGTACTGTGATTTTTTTTATAATTGCTCACTTCAAGTTGAACTCCTGTCTCAAAGCAGCATCTTATTCTGAAAATACATCTCTCCTGTGTATGAGTGAGGCAAGACCTGAAAATCTAAAATCTGGGGAGTGTCTCTGTGGTGGCCTGTGGTGCTGATGCTTTTACTCCAGTTTGTTTTCCTGTGGCTCACTCTCAGAGTTGAACTGTCATCTTACTGCTGGGTGAACGTGCCCTCACTGGGACCGGTGCCATTAACAAAAGACAGTCGTACTGGAATCCATTTTTTGTTTTTGGATTGTCCTTCTGTCTGTCCCATTCTCATTAATGTAATGTCTCAGGGATGAAGGAATTTCTTCAAAACTGGCACAAACGTCCACTTGGACTCAGTGATGAACTGATTAGATATTGGTGGTCAAAAGTCAAAGCTTAAGGTCACAGCGGCCTCACATCCATCCTGTTCTCAACAGTTTGACTTGTTGGCGGCAGCAACTAAAGATCGTCATTGTTTATCAGTCTGGAGTTTATTTTCTCAGTGAAACAATTGTATAAAAATTCATTAGAGACAGAAACTTCACAGTTTTTCATAGGCCAAGCTGATGTCTTTAAATGTCTGGGTTTGTTTGAAGCTCAAAGTTATGCAGTTTGCAGTTTTATAAAACAAAGGTAGCATTTGTCACTGAATGAGCCAGCCCATCTCCATCCTGAAGCTGCTGCACTAGATTCAGCTGAGTCACGTTTGAAGGAGGAAACTGGCCAGAAAGAACTATTCACACAACAGTTCAGTGACAGAAGTGTGTGTTGGTTTGTGTGCATGTCGTAGGTGTATGATGACGGCCGGTCAGTGTTCCTGGTCACAGAGCTGATGAAAGGAGGAGAGCTGCTGGACAAAATCCTTCGACAGAAGTTCTTCTCTGAGAGAGAAGCCAGCGCCGTTCTCTACACCATCACCAAGACAGTGGAGTACCTGCATGTACAGGGGGTATGTGTCTCTGAAACACATATCACTATCCTCTCCTGTTTATGGTGTTTGAAAACTAAAGATGACATATTTTATGTTTCATGCTCTATACGCTTCTTGACTTGCCTGCACTGAATGTCCCCTAAAATAATCACATCCAGCAATAGGAGTAAACAACCAATCATGGAACTTGATACTGCTCCTAAAGTTTCAACACATACAGTAGTTTTCCTATGACATTTTCAACACTGAATGTGAATCTCAGTTCCTCTAATTGCATGAGAGGAACCAGAATGACTTCCAGGTCAAGCTAGAACTGAGGAACGATAAAATAAGGGAACTGGGATTCTCTTTGACGCTGTCCTTTCATTTGTGTTTGCAGGTTGTGCACAGAGACCTGAAGCCCAGTAATATCCTCTATGTGGATGAGAGCGGGAACGCTGAGTCCATCAGGATCTGTGACTTTGGCTTTGCCAAACAGCTGAGAGCGGAGAACGGCTTGCTCATGACGCCGTGCTACACTGCCAACTTTGTTGCACCAGAGGTTCGTCAGGGTTGTCTCCTGAAGCCCAACGTTTTTGTCTGACATCAGTGTTTTTTCTCTTTCTTCCTTTTTTCTTTATATGACGAATTTAATCTGTTGTTGTTGAAAAGTCCGATTTTTCTTCTTTGCTGCCCACCTGTGTAACAAAGGCTAAACCAAACAGAAAACGAAAGATGAAATGAAGTACTAAAAGCAAAAGTCATAATAAAAGACAGTCATATGAACACAATTGCACAGCTGACAAGAGTATTTCATCAAGGTATAAGGTCACTGAGATCATTTAGAAGGCGCTGAAGCTACTGAGGACGCAGCAGCGTCAGATTAAAGAAAGTTGTTGTGTTGTGTTCCTGGCAGGTGTTAAAGAAGCAGGGTTATGATGCAGCCTGTGACATCTGGAGTCTTGGAGTCCTACTGTACACAATGCTAACCGGGTAGGTGTAAAAACAAACAACTAATAACATCAGAATATTACATGGTACCTTCCTGGGAGGGGAAATGCTTGGAAGTTAAACATCCAGGGCTGTATTTCTCAAAGCATCTACGATGATAGTTGCATCCGTCTTAGAAGCTTCTTAAGCTTAAGAGGTGTTTCCCTAAAGCATCAAAGTGAAGACGCTCTTATAAAGTACTGTACATGAAACTACCAGTATCTTGAGAAGCTCCTGGAGCTGGAGGAGAAAGCAAAGACCACAGTTTGATTGTTTCAGTTCATTCCTCCGTCAGCAGCAGTAGGAATGTGTTTATATGTTTAAAAATTTATAGAATAGTGTGTTTGATATCAGCCTCAGCACCACAGACAGCCAACAGTAAAAAGCTCTTAAGGGTGTACATATGTATACTCTTTCTTAAATGTCGCTTTGGGAAATGCATGTGGAAATGTAAGTGTATTTGTAGAAATGCATTTGGAAAATCCTTCAAAATACTTCTGGGTAAACAGGACCCAGGACTCTCTGGCCCCTGAGTCTCGCTGTGCAAAATGTCCAAGAATCAGGCCTATGGCCGTGTTTATTAGCGTCACTTTTTCCTGTTTTTCGACGTATCCTTTGCTCTTTTCATCCAACTGCAGCTTCACTCCGTTTGCTAACGGTCCAGAGGACACACCGGAGGAGATTCTGGCTCGTGTTGGTAGTGGGAAGTTCTCGCTCAGTGGAGGATACTGGAACTCTGTTTCTGCTGAGGCTAAGGTGTGGAACTGTTTCCTCATAAATACATAACAAGGAGTGTGTAGACTCTTCATACTGATGTAATGGACACACCAAGGTGAAGGCGAATTATTGTGCTGGGAGTAAATCAGTTTCTCCTTCTCATATTTACGTAAGTTTCTAATGACTGCTGCTGCTCTCGGGTCACCCAAACACGCCTTTGAACGTTCAGTCTTTCCCTCCTTTCTTCCTCTTATTCTCTGGGCACATTTTGGATTTCCATGAACTGTGCTGTAAATGTTTCAGGTCAGCAGAGGGTGAGTTGTATTCACACGTGAACTACAGCTCATGTGTTTCCTCTTCCCTTCAGGACCTGGTGTCTAAGATGTTGCACGTAGACCCCCACCAGCGGCTGACGGCAGGTCAGGTCCTCAGACACCCGTGGGTGACACACAGAGACCAGCTGCCCAAATACACCCTCAACAGACATGATGCACCGCACCTGGTCAAGGTGACACACAAACACACACACACACACACACACACAAAGGTGCCCTGTGGGCCACCTCCTGCAGGGATAGGGACTGGGGTCGGGTGCAGGGTAAGCTGGGCAGCAGGAAAGGTCTGGGAGTACTGATCCCTGGAGGTGTAGACCGGCTCTGGGGAGGTGGAATATCACCGCTATGGTGGGGAAAGATCCGGAGCTGCCACAGTAAAAAGGTCAATTAATTGTCTGCTAGTTGATTAATTAATTAATTGACGAGTTGTTTCCGCCTTTGTCTCCTCCCTCCAGGGCGCCATGGCAGCCACCTACTCAGCCCTGAACAGGAACGTCTCTCCAGTCCTGGAGCCGGTGGGCTGCTCCACACTGGCCCAGAGGAGAGGGATGAAGAAAATCACCTCCACCGCTCTGTGACTTTTAACCCCTCCTTGACCCCCTCACCTCCTGTCAATTCTGACCTCATCCTGACCTCTGCTGGACCACCCCTTCCGCTCCCTTTCTCCGGTCCACTTTGGCGGGACAGACTACTGATGGACCTGTGAACTGCTAACGCCAAATAGGAGCACAGAGAACACGGCTGACCCCTCCCCTGCCTGTCTGATTGGGTCTCTTCTGCTGTCTTACTGTACAGTCTCACCTTCAGCGTCACTGTTTGACAGAGCTGTTAACCTGTCATCTCCTCCCGCTGCGGACACAGAGTCCTCCTGCCACGTTTTGGCTTCGGACAATCAGCGCTGCCTCAGACACAGAGACAGTGTGCCGGTCAGGGAAATGGGCATACTGTATTTATTTACTTCAAATGGGGAAATCAGAGCATAGGAACATGGTAATGTAATATATGCATTCAAAGAGCTGGGATCATTGACATTAGGTTTTGCATAGCAGTAAATCCTGCATTTAAACCTCAAATAGCCTCAAGGTAGTGGCATCTGTAGAAAAAGACTAAGTTCAGGACCCGATTAATATTCATCGAGCCTTGGAAGGTAGCTGTTTGCGTTTGAGATTTACTTGGAGAATCTGAGAGCAGAAGTGTCAGATCTAAATTTCTGGAGTTTCTGGGATAATATGCCACAGAAGCTGGGTTTTGTTAGAACGTATCAGACCTAGTCAGGACTTCCTGACATTACACAAAGTTCAGTCAAATTCACTGAAGTGTATTGCATTTTTTAAAACTCAGAACTCTGAAAATGAGGGTAAACTGCTTGTTCTTTTTAACTGACAGGGAGATTTTAGTGTTTGAAAATCTGATTAATAATCAGTTCATCATTTTGCTTAATAACTGTCATAAAACTGTACTAAATGCCTGCAGTTCAAAACCCACATCGGCCAAGCTGTGGATTTTGGCTTTTTGTTTCTTAAATGACTGAAAACTAATAAATGTTCTGCCAGTCAGCTAATTATCAACATCGAGCATTCAGGAGCGATTAAGAGATGACGTTACCAGAAAGAATGATCCACCTTATCAGACATCTGTAAAGCAGATTAAGACGCTTTGCTTCTCCAGGCACTGCAGGGTGCAGTTTTCAGGCTATTAAAACAATAAAACAAGGCATAATTTTACATAGATCCTTGTGCCGCTTTAAGACATGCCAGTAAATTGAAATTTGATTTGAAGAAGCACCTGGAGGCTTAAGGGACTCTGAAAGCAGATCTGTCCTGAGGAGATGCTGACAGTTGCACAACAAATGAACTTCGGTCCTGTTGAGGAGTCACATTTAGGCCCAGCACAAGATAAGATGTTGTGGAAACAAGGTGACACGGTGAAGTAACAAGCTCTGTGAGGACAAAACGTTGGGGTGAAAAAGGTGTGAGAGCTTCCTGCTTCCAGACGCTGATGTGAAAACGCTTGAGCCCAGAAGGACATCTACCTTCCACCTGAGCCACCAATTGTCTGTGTGTGCAGCCGACAGTGAGCTGAACTGTAACTACAAACATGGCGAGCAACTCAGGTTTCTACGAATCAAGACCATGCATTTTTATTCAGGAGGAGAGGGCGTAACATACAAAGCACACAGATTTGGGTGTCGGGAGGCGAGCAGACCACAACAAGGCATTTAGAGATGTGTTCCAAAACTTTATTGATCTCTTTTATCTTTGTGTCTTTATTTTTGACTTATAGTCTTAAATTTCCACCTTGTCTTGAGACATCTTGTTTTCGAAACTCTTCTGTCTGGTCTGTAAATCTATGGGTTTGGTGAGTCGTGGCATCGTTTCTGCTACTGATCCAAATGTAAACCCTGTCAGTTACCTGTGCTCAGTCACTCAGCAGCATATGGTTGCATTTAACAACAGGCTTGAAACCTTCTTACAATCACACTCGGCACCACTGCGAAGGCAAATTAAAGGGTTCATTCACCCATAAGCTACGTTCACATTACAGGCCTGACTTCTCTGCACAGCCTGTTGTCATCATTCTGTGTCAGCCCCTCAAAGACCGGTAACAATAAACATGGAGAAGAGCGACGACAGCAACGGGGTCAGTGGAGAGACCAGGACGTTTCACATGTGGTGGACGTCTATGGAGAAGCTTCTGATCAGGCCAAACTAGAAGGAACATATCGTAACCCAGCGGTTTGGGAGGAAACTGGGTCATTTGACCGTCACACACACAACCTAGTTGTTATTCTTGTGTGCATGTACCTCACATTTCAGTTACATATGTGCATGTGTGGCCGTTTAGGAGCTCAGCGGTGTTCACACTGGAGCTGGGTACATGGCACTGACACACACGGACAGGAAGCAGCGACACAACAAGACCAAATTATTAGAGATCAGAAATGAATCAAATCTAGGAGCACATACAAGGTGAATCCCAGTTCCTTTATTTTAGCGACCCTCATATGACCTGGAAGTCGCTCCAGTCCACCAACTTGAAGGACCAAAGGTCATATTCCTGCTCTGAGGAGCGAGGAGACTGCTGGAGGAGACATGAGTGAGGACACACAAGTGCATTTTTCATTGAAGCCTGTATCAGACATCAGTTGATGAGTGGACGCTTCAGATGTAGAGCCTCTCATGACAGTTATAACATATTTCGTCAGTTTCTCTCTCCTCGTATCCTATGTAGAGACTAAGACACAAGGAAAAGATGCAAGTGTAGGAAAGGTGGATGCAATTAAGGGAACTGGGGTTCATCTAATGGAAGTGACCCAGATCTGATTTGGTTGGTTTACACATCCATGAAAAGATTAGATCTGAGTCACTTCGGCAGGTAATGTGAACATAGTTTAGAAGACAAAAGTCATCATGGGCAATGTGCTTATTGGCCTTTTTGCCAGTGGTGAGATGGATTTCTGCCTGGTTTGTTTGTATTGTGCATGCTCACGAGTAACACAGTGCACATTCCTGCACTACACTAATCTGCACTGGTGTGTTAAGAAATGCAGCAGCAAACGAAAGGAAGGGGACGACTGTGACTGTAGCAGACATGGATGTAAACAGTGCAGGAGAACGTCTTTGCTCGCGGATGCGCACAATGGGCCTCGTGCAAGAAACAGTCGTGTGATCGGGTTGTGACATGAATGACAGGTTTAAGAGATCGTCGTACTTAGAACATACAAATGAAGCTCACGAGCCATGAATGGGGAGAAAACACTCATTTGACTAAATAATTATAGTGACTTCATCTGGATTAATTTGGAGTTTAAATATTTTAATCAGTTTTAGTAAGAAATACACTAGCAATCTTGATGCTAAACTTTGTGGTCACCACATCATCATGGCTGCTACTGTGAAGAATTTCAGATTTTAATACTTCATTGGCATATTTGTGCACAGCAGCTTCTACATTTCAGTAGTGGTTACTCTGGCAGCTGCAGGTCTCTGTCCAGTATCATCCTCTGTTACAACACGTGACAGCAGAATGATATCTTCTCTAGTACCATCTCATATTAGTCACAGGCTGCTTTGCTCTTCTGGAGAGATTAACATTTTTTTAATGGTTTTAATGGCCTGGTACGACCGGTGCCTCTGCTAAATGTCTGACAGCAGTGTGCGTTTCTTTTATCTAATGCTTTGATGAATGAAACGTTCCCACAACCTGAGCTGAACAGGTACCAACCTCAGGTGTGTTGCTAAGTATCAGTTCTCATAAACGGGTGGTTTTTATCAGTCAAGTGATTTACAACAGCTTTATGCAGTTGAGCGTTTATTGAATTCAGCTTGAAAGAGCTGTGCAAGCAAAAGCCTAAAAGATGAGAAATTTAGGACCAGAGTACAACAGTGTCTTTACATGAGGCCCAGTCACTGTTCTAGAGTCTGAATCTAGTCGCCCCACAGACGTCCGGTCATCACTGAAACCAGACACTGCACTGAGGCTTGAGAACCTGGCTGCAGACAAGATGGCGGATTGCTGAGTTGTTCACCTCGCAGGTTTCTGATTAGATGGTGTGCCATCTTCTCAGGTTCCTCTCCACTGAGGTGCAGGTAACTCATAGTCCAGTCGTTCCCAACTTGGTGCTCAACAGATGGTGAAGAACCAATATTTCATATTTCTGCTTCTAAGAAAAGTTTCTCTTCTTCAGGGAGATTTTTTCAAACATGCAATGTTGATTTTTTTTTAATTTAGCTTCATGGTAGTAGCATGGAGGAAGTGATGTCAGACAGATTTGTCCAAATCTGTACAATATGCTTGACATATAGCAGTATTTTCTACTCACGATGCCTCATCATAGGTTGCAAAGTTGCAAGTATTTCAACCACACTGTTTTTTCTTTCTCAGCTTATCTTGTGTAAATGCCCTAAGAGATTAAATTATCAGTATTTCACACTATAAAGAAGCAGAGGAGCAGAAATATGTAAATCCAAAACTCTGCAGATACCACTAGATACTAAATCATCCTCGACACAAGCTCTAATTTTGTGTTTTCAACCCCGTCAACCACATCTCATGGCCTTCTTCTGTGCAAAGTTGACTTAAGTGTCACAATTTTAAGTAATAATAGGACAATACAGCATCATTAAACTTGTTTTGTAACTACTGAGCAATGTGATCTGCCAAGGAAGACCATGAGATTTTATTGAAAGTTTCAAAAACAAGTAGACTAGAGATTGTGTTGGGGAATTTTTATGTCAAGCTGCTGCTTCCAAAGTCAAGAATGAATAGTTTATGTAATATGGGTGAATGTGGCTTTTTAATTACAAGACAACACATCCCTTAGTTTCTAGCAGTCAGCTGTTGGATACGACCTCCAACGTAGCTGCCAGGGTGTGTGGCATCTGTTTCGCCTCTATTCACAGAGTTCATTATTCAGGTTTTTATTCTGTGCCTCTCCAGCGGATCAGTTTAAAGTTGGCGTGTACCTGTGTGTCCATCTGCTGCAAAAAAAAAATCTCCTCTCGCCTGGATTTTAGTGAGAGGAGACATGATCTGTGTCAATGAGCAATTAGTGAGCGCTAAAAAAACAAAAATCGAGCTGCTTCTTAATCTCCCCAGAAATCCTGCACCTGTAACCATGAACCCCTCATAGATCTTATCCTGTAGGTGAATGATTACTTCATAATGATTGTGTGTAAGGGATTGTGTGCTCTGAGACAAAAGTTAGATTTTCTTTGTTTTCAAATAGCTATGGACTATAAACATGTTTTTGCCTCATCTATCGATGTACAGCTCTGGGATTAAGGAATGTAAAAGAAATGATTGTGTAATTATGAACAAGGGAATAGCTTCCTTCTCTCTGTCCTCCTCTTCATCCTCCTCTTCGTCTTTCACCTGGTCCTGTCAGTCCTGCTGCTATGCCATCTCTCTGTTTTTGTACCTGCAGCGAGAGTTGGACTTTCTAAAAAAAATTAATAAATAAAAAATCATTTTTAAAAAAGGATAATCTTCTAACAAGCTGTGGTGACTTTTATTGATCATTGCAGGATCTTGTGAATCTGCACCTTTTAACACATCTTCCTCAACAGTGGTGGATGAAGAACTTTTACTTGAGTAAAAGCATGAATGGGCCTAAAGGGCTCTGGCCCAGGGGCCTGAGTGTTTAAGGGGCCCCTGTCAATCAAATGACTTGAGAAGGACAATGCAAATCAACAACAAATCGAATGATTGTAAAGACACACAATATGACTACAAAGACTCAAGACATGCAAAATGACCACACAAAAATACTGTTAAGACAAAATAACTTCAAAAAGATGGTTAAACAAAGAGATGCAAGAAGTTGCAAAAAACCTACAAAGACCCACAAAACAATTTTAGACACAAAATGACTCCAAATAGAGAAAATGTGGCCACTGCTGTGTTGTTTGTTGTCATTTTGTGTCTCTTTCTATGTGGTGCATTGTCTGTGCATTTCAGTCTTGCTCCAATGTAGGGGGCCTTTTACATGTGTATACCCAAGGGCCCATTGTCTTGTAATATGCCCATGAGTAAACGGTAGTCCTAGGCTAAAATGTTACTTCAGTAAAAGCAGTAGGATCAAGTAATACTTGAAATACCAAACATAAAAGTACTCATTATTCAGAACTACATTTCACATGATCATCATATTGGATTAAATATTGATGTATTATTGTGAGACTTTAGTGTTGCAGCTGGTAAAGGTGGAGCTAATGTTAACTACCTTATACTTTGAGTGTTTTCATTTTCTGCTACTTCATACTTGGACTTTACTACATTTCAGAGCCAAAATACTTTTTACTGCACTACATGTATTTTATCTATTGATGCCCTCTGGGAAGGAAACTCACAAGCTACCCAGGAATATGTAAAGTATTGCAAATTATAAGTATATGAGATGGTAACAATAAAGTAAGATAATAATGTATCAATAACTATAATGCAATAATGTGATATACATTGCCAATCTGCACAATTACTACTTTTACTTCTGGTATTTCATAGCCCATATTTCGTTTCTGTTACTTTTGTACCTATACTTAAGTAACATTTTGAATGCAGGATTTTTACTTGTAACTGAATATTTTTATATTGTAGAATGCTACTTTTACTGAAGTAAACAATCTGAGTACTTATTCCACCACTGTTTATTTGCTCTATATCTGTAATGTTTGCCTGTTACAATAAAGATTTAGTTTTGACTGTTTTGCGTGGCGCATGCGCAGTTCAGCGGAGACTCAGCCGTGACTAGTTAGCTTACTTATATGCTAGCTTCTCGTAGCGTTCTGTTAGTTTGTATTTGTACTTTCGCTAACCATTGTAATAAAGCAGTCATTGAGTAACAGGCAGTCGTTCCTACCGACATAGACTGACGTGACCGAGGCGTGAAAGACTATGCCCAAAAATAAAGGTAAGAGGTTTCAGTATTATTAATTGTTTTTGCGTCGGCCGAGCCCACCGTGAAGGCGATGAAAACGTGACATCTAGCAGCTAACGCTAACTAGCAACATGGATATAGCACAGTAGTCAGTGGTGTCATCGTTAAATTTAGCCAGCAGACATGAAATTGGCTGAGATAATAATGGAGTTACTTTACGATACATAGTTAATCAACACGCTGTGTCTGACACCCATCTTACAAGTGTAAGTGTAATTTCTTGTTTTAAGCCGACACAGTTAACCAGCTAGCTAGTTGCTAGTTAAACCCCACCCCTAGACATCTGTTACTGTTTTCATATAAATTAAGCCCTAATAACGCCAGATAGCCTTGTATCGTGTTATTAAACTCATTAAGAGGTGTCATTTGAGCGGCTCAATAATTTGACGTCATTAGGATGTCATGTAAATTAGCGGAGTAGCCAACGTCACCAATAGGTACCGCTCGTGTTATCATGTACAAGGTTATAGTTTTCATACAGAAAGTAGCTGACATTGGCTTTTAAATTTATGTTGTGTTAATAACAGTTTACCAAGTGGAACATGCATGTCAGCAAAAACATTGATGAGGCTTAAAATGAACTGAGAGCGAACTGTTAACACATTTTTCCAAAATCAGTTGATTCCAACAATCTCCTTCAGGGCTGAGGTCAAGTGGGAGGATCTTTAAAATACAGCCCTGGACATTCATTTAATTCTTCCTGCGTCTCTTTACAGGTAAGGGAGGAAAGAATCGGCGACGTGGAAAGAACGAGAATGAGTCAGAGAAGAGAGAGCTGGTGTTCAAAGAGGATGGACAGGGTTAGTACCGGTGCTACTACAGTTATTGCTTTGTCGTTTTGTTTCAGCAGAGACAGCTGCACTGAAGGCATTTAGCTAGGGCTAAAGTGATTAGTCAGTTAATCTGGGAAAGTCATATGAACTTGTTTCTTTTCCTATTTTTTATTCCTTATTTATATGTATAAATATATTTATATATAATTTTAAATGTATAAACTATTGCATTGATGACTGTTAAAACTGTTTAGCATCTTCTGCTTGTCTGTTAAAAGAATGTCTGCAAGAGGTCTGTGCTTTGAAGTTAACCAAATGTCCGGTATTTACTGTTCATTTATTAGGGTTTTTATAGACAGGATGTCTGCTCTTTTTGAAGATGACCAAATGTTTGTGATTTTGTTAGCTACCACCAGACATCACAACATTCACACACCATTTGATTTGCATATTCAGTAAGCTGACATGTGCAGAGGTTGGCCTGCTCACGCCTATGGCCAATAGTGTTGGGATGCGTGTAAGTCCAACCCTTGTCTGGGGCGGTTCCTGACCACGAAGATAAATGGAACTACAGACAATGTTCGGCGCTCTTTGATGACGGAGTTCCTGCAGAAACTGATTCTCTGAGCCCAGCGCTGTAATGCTCTACATGTGACTAGACTTTGATTAAATTGTCTGTTGATGTTATACAGTCCTCTTCTGTCTTCACTTCTCTGGCTTTCAGTTAAAGAACTGGGTCTAACAAGAGGATCAGACAGAAACAATCAAATAGTCTTGATAGTTAAAAGTAAAAATGTCAAATATTTACTACTCTGGTTTCTAAGATGCCATACATGATGGTAAGCTGAATATTTTTGGGGGTTTGGAGTGTTGGTTGGGCAAAACAAGGCATTTGAAGGTGTCACCTTATTCACCATATAGTACACCTGTATTTATTAAATATAAGGCTGTTTTGAGTCTGCTGAAAGAGTTTTGAACTGTTACTTATAAAAAGGTATCGATCTGGGCTTTGTAAACCTGTGGGGTTTTTTTTTCCTCTTTTGTGACATTTTCTAGACCTTGCATTTAATTGGTTGGAATCATTTATGTAGTGATCAAACCAATTGATAATTTTCTATTAGATGATGTTTTAGATGTCAGTTTAATTTCAGCACTAGCTTGTAGTGCTAAAAACAAACCAGGTTTACCAGCAGGTAGAGGGAGAGTTGTTGGTTTAGGTGATTTATGCAGAGTCATCAGAAATCAGAATAACTCATCAATTCAGCTGTTGAGCCAAAGACTGTAGTCCATTCATCCAGCCATTTTCTGCCACTTATCTGGGGTCGGGTCATGGTGGCAGCAGGTTCAGTAAGGCAGTCCAGATGTCCCTCTCCCTGGTAACGTATTCCAGCTCCTCTGGCAGGGTTCTGATGTGTTCCCAGGCCAGATGAGAGAGATAATCTCTCCAGTGTGTTCTGGGTCTACCCCAGGGTCTCCTACCAGTTGGATGTTCCCAGAGGCCCTCTGGAAGACATTTGGAGGTCTTCTGGGCCAAAAAATGTTGACTCAGAACACATCATTCTGCACAAACTGGAGCTCAGGGTGGAAGAAATATAATTTCAGCAATGGTGTTTAAAGTGAAGCACTGTTTGACATGCAGTGGAAGTTGTTACCACCTTGCTAAATGGTAGTGTGAGCCTGCAGTCCAGCATTAAGAGCTTTGTGCGCTTGGTGCTGCCGGTGTCCTTCTTATGTGTGGGAGTGAGCCTAGTGTGTGACTTCTCTATTTGAAAAGACGCTTTCAGGTAGTGAAGGCTGTAAGTTTTCTTTTCTCAGACATGGGATGCACAACCCTGCTGACTTCATCAGCAAAACAGTCATCTCACTCATTAAATATGTGAACTGTACTGCAAGATTTAACACCACTGCTCATTTCCCCTGGAGTGTAATCTAATGTTTCATGAAGATGTAATAATTTCCTCTGTTATTTGAGATGCTTTTATACAGTCAAGGTGACAAGACATTTGTAGATGTAATTTGGGGCTTGGGGACATTGGGATGAACATTTTTAACCATGTTCCAACATATTGTTGACCAAATATTGATTGTTTAATTGTTAGAACAAACTGAAACATCTCAAAGAAAGCATTCCCTCATCAGAATTAACTTTATTGGCCAGGTGTGTCGGATACACGCGGAATTTGACTCTGGTACATCGGCTCTCAATGTGTATATACATATCCCCATGCAAGGGGCAAGTAAACAGTAGACTAGCATAAGGTTGTGTAACAAAAAAATAGGCAGTATAAACAAGCAACAACCAGGGCAAATGATGCGAAATTAAGCAGTATAAACAGGCAGTAAAAAAAAAAGCAGACGGGAATGCTCATCGAGATGAGATAATAGGAATGAGGTAGAGTGCTTAAAATATTACCTTGAATTAACCACCATCCACTCTCCTGTGTCTTCCAGAATATGCTCAGGTGATTAAAATGTTGGGGAATGGACGTCTGGAGGCCATGTGCTTTGATGGAACCAAGCGGCTTTGTCACATCAGAGGGAAACTCCGGAAAAAGGTACAGTGCTCATACACCTTTCCCCCCACTGGCACACTTCCCTGACATAACGCTGAGTCAGCGTGTCCTCAGTGGTCAGTTACTGTGGGAGCATCAACTTGAACGACGTTGGTAAAAGCTCTACTTTGGTTTTGCTTTCCTCCAGGTTTGGATCAACACGTCAGACATCATACTGGTCGGACTGAGAGATTACCAGGTGTGTTGGTCGCTCACACGTTTCAGACCAGACTGTTGTCACACTAGTGATCGAACGATACAGGGTTTTCAATTGCCGATCATTAGCAAGTGGCTTTCTTTTTGCAGCAGATAAAATACATCTGTTTAATAACAAATGAGACACAAATTTGCTTAATGTAAATGGACGTTTATTTAACACTAATTATGAAAATCTCTGAATTCAAGTATTTGAAATTTAAAAAAGAGCACTGTGTCTAGTTGCTACACTCTGCACTCCCCTTAATACAAATAATCAAAAAACAATGTAAAAAGAAGATGCTGACAAAACTGTCTGCTGATGTGTCTGCAGGCATTTGTTTTTTTTAATCAGCCCATGCCAATTATTTAAAAAGTATCAATTATACAGTTAATCGGTCAACCAATGATTCGGTTTAGTGTGAGTTGGCACTGCGGGTTTTGTCAGTGTTTGTCTTGGAGCCTTTTTGATGCTGCTATCAGACATTAGATGTATGAATCTAAACACTACAATACCACGACTTGTGTTTCAGGACAACAAAGCCGATGTCATCCTGAAGTACAACGCGGACGAGGCTCGTAGTTTGAAAGCGTACGGAGAGCTGCCAGAGCACGGTCAGTGAAACTGCATGCCAGCCCAACATCTATTGTTGTTTTTGGCAGCCTGGTTTAATTTTAGTTTTAGTCTAATCCAGTGGTTTTCAAACATTTACTGTCATTCTCCACTTAAAAGGGGGGGCGAATTTTCAAGCCCCACTTGTCAAAAAAATGATAACAAAATCAGCCAATTTTAAAATTTCAAATTTATTTTAATATCAAATAACACCAAGTTCAAAACAGATAAAATATAAGTGGAACTGTATCATTTGACAGGGGGATAGTTTTCAGTTTTGCAGCACTTGTCTCATCCAGCATAATCAACACCATGTCTACAGCAGCAGGGAGAATAAGCTGCTCAGCTATTGTTTGTGGTTTTTTGCACTGGACAATTCTGTAGGCAACTTTGAATGAAGCCATTTGTGCTTTGTTGTTCACTGATGCAGATTTTACCATGCGATTTTCTTGCTGACGGTTTTCTGACAGCTTTCTTTTAAAGAAGTCGAGTGGCTTATTAACGTGACTGGGGTGTGTTGTCTCTAAATGTCTTCTTAATTTGTTGGGTCTCGTGCTGTTTGCTGCCAGCGGTTTAAGACACAAGACACACATGGGTCCCTCCTCTGCCCCCACCATTCCCACTGTGAATCCAAGCGCAAGATGGGCTTCATCATATTTTCTTTTCGGCTGGCTTTTTGGTTGATAAGGCTACTGCCTGTTGTTTCTTTGGCGATTCAGCGCAAGCAGACAGAGTTGTATTAATGACCCATTTCTATTTTTCTTCGTTCAGTGCACCCCACCTGTCATGTCTTCACTCCCCACTAGTGGGGCGCGCCCCACACTTTGAGAACCACGGGTCTAGTCTTTGTGTGAAGCTGTCATTTTAGTTTTTATTAGTTTTAGTCACGTTCATAATCTTTTTAGTCTAGTTTCAGTCAACTAAAAGTCTGAGCATTTTAATCTAGTTTTAGTCGGAATTATCCATGAATATTTTTGTCTAGTTTTAGTCAATGAAAATTGTATTTTAGTCTCTTTTTAATAAGGTAGTTCTATTTAACCCAGTCAATATAGTACAAGTGCCTGGTAATATAGACAAAACTAAAATTTTCTTTTAGCCAAACCCATTTCAAACAAGGTTATCTTATTATATTATTGTTACCTTATAGACTCAAGAATACAACCAATACACATTTTGTGTGATTTTGTGGCCACATTTCTCCCCATCTTTTTCCACAACACATTCCGTTTTCTTTTCCACTTCTATGTAATGAAAGTTTTTCCAAATGCCGTTTCTTCTTTTTCTTCCAAAGACGAACCCCAGCTGGTTGGCCATCGGTCCCTTTCTCTGTGTCAGACTTAACTTTGTTGTCGTCTTCTAAATAAAGCCACGAGTGGTGGTTAAGGAAGTGACATCGCCTGCGTCTGCGCAGTGTGACCTGATGTGGCCCCTGAAGCGAGACACAGGAAACAGAAATACTGCAAAATAATAATAATAATAACGCGACTAAATGAGACAATAACTTTATAACATTTTGTTTTGTCTCGTTTTGGTCAACGAAAATGAAGACATTTTATCATAGTTTTTATTTTGTAAACCACATTTAGTTTCGTTTTTTTGTCAATGATATTGCATTGTATATTTAATTATAGTCATCGTCACATAACCGGCATTTACGTTGCGTCTTGTCTTGTTTTCGTCATGTGATAAAGGTTCATTGATGACGATATTTAGTCATAATTTTCATTGACGAAAGCAACACTACCAACATCACTGTACAGAAACACAGCTTGGTATAAACTAGGATTGTCCGACAGAAGTAAAGGCGACTGCAAGCTCTGTGTCTGAGACGTGGAGGGAGGAGTCACACGCAGCAGACTAGGTTGTATTTTACTGAGATGACAGTGCCCAACACTTGCAACAAAAGATTCAAGATTTTTATTTGCCATTTATACATAAACAGACAGTCTAGGCATACAGGAACTCTTGTGCTGGGCTCTCTTGGAGTCAAGTAAAGAGTTTAAAGCCAAAAGAATGAACACACAAACGAGCCCCCGGTGATAGAGAGAATTTATCAAACAGCTGTTGAACACACAGAAATGTGTCACGTCTTCTCCCCACGGTCGACTTGTCCAACCACTAAACCCACCTGGTGATCATTCTGCTGATTGTAGTTAATTGCTGTGAAAGAGAAGAAAATAAACACTAGTTTTATGTAGCTTACAGTTGGGTTTAATGAACTCTGTGTGATTGAGAATGAGTTGAATTCTTGTGGCTGAGCAGCTCCTCTACAGCAGTGCAGGTGTGTTACAGGTCAGTGTAACAACATGCACACTCTTGAATGACAATTAGTGTCAGTGACAGTAGGAGTGGTGGCTGTGCTGTGTTACAGAGCTCTGAAAGAGGAAAAACTGGCCCTAAAGTCATTGCACTTTTATGGTAATTGTAATTTTTGTAGCAGAAACACTGCATTATTATTAAGTACTATCTGTACTCAGCATCAGCAGGTACTCAAATTTAAGTACTTGGTTTGGAAAACAGTGGCATCAGTGCACCTCTGACACTGTTTATTCGGCTGAGGCAGATGAGACTATGACAGACCAGGCGACAAGAACTCTAGTCTGTCTGGCTGTTGCTGGGCTGCTGGTGCAGTAGCTGTATTCTTCAAACCTTCCAGTGCAGGAATGGAGGACACTGAAGTCACACATGCAGTACTATGCGTTCACATCACTTTCCATTGTCAGTCCACCAAATTGTGGCAGGAGCATTATGGTTTTCTGGTTCAAGAGCATTTGTAATGTTTTCATTTTAACACTCTTTGCTCTCACAGCCAAAATCAACGAGACAGACACGTTTGGTCCTGGAGATGACGACGAGATCCAGTTTGATGACATTGGTGATGACGACGAGGACATTGATGACGTAAGTCCATTTAATGTTATGATACCCGCCCCTGGTATGAAAAACTTCAGAACCATTAGCAATATTTAAAAAGTCCTCAATTATTAAACACAAGCCTAAATGCATAAACAAAATGCAGTCTATTTGGATAGAAATCAGCTCTGTGTGATAAAAGAACAAGCAAAATGTCAGAAAATAGTGAAAACTGCCTGCAGCCCAGGGAGGTGTGTTCACATCTAGTTTTACTTGACCAACAGCTGACAATGAATTAAAAATACAGAGCTAAAGTGGAAATAATTTTCTCTCTTCTGTTCCAGATCTAAAGATGTGAAGACCAGATCTAACCTTCATCTTATTATAATTAACACAGTTAAATAAACACTTTATTAATAAAGAGTATGTCTCCATTTCTCCCTTTTGTTTACCATAAGTAGATGTCTTTGTTTTGAGAACGTCCAAGTGCATTTCTCATAAGTAGTACTGTCTCAGTTATCGCTCGTAGCAGGTGGGTGTCGGTGCAGCCGTCCACCTGGTAGCTGATGATGCAGGTACACCAGCGAGCTAGCATCAGGGTGGACATCTGGAGCATTGCTAGATTAGTACCTTTTGCATGCAACGTTGACAAACACTCATTGTTTTGTAGAGGCTCAGGCTGATACATGACTGCAGAATATCTCACTCCTAAATATTGTATATTGATTTCACACTCTGTGGAATTTGTCAAGTGCAGAATATCTGGATTCACCAGTAAAACAAAGATTTGTGTGTTTTCTCCCTTTAACAGTCAGAGTTGTAGCTGTAACCTGTTACAGTTTGAAAGCTGCTTGTTAATCACAGAAGATGTTTTTCATTTTGGTAATGTCATATTCTACTGACAAAGTATTGCAGTGAACTTTGTTCATTTTTAGTTCAACAATGTCTGAGTGAATGTGACAGCTCCTCCTCAAAATCAAAAGAAAAATCTAATATTTTGTGTTTGTTCCCTGCTATGTGATTTTGTTTCCATGTTCCTTTGTGAGAGTTTTGCTGCTCCTCTTTTGGCTTCAACACACTGTGAAGCTTGGCCCAGTCACGAGGCCTTTTTCTTGAATAAATAATGTACAATGGTGTTTGAAGGCAGTTTCCAATAAAGATCTTATCTCTACTGACTCATGTTGTTAGAACTAAAGATGTCAACGTTTGTTTCAATATCTTAGAATGATTTGGTTTTCAATATTTTATTTATTACTTTTTTAGTAAAATGATATTGTACTGCTTCCTGATTCACTCCTCTTTGCCAGTTGGTAGCGGTAGTGTGCCACGATGTTTCTTGCCAGCTTTTGTAAATTAAGGTAGAAGAAGAATTGAAGTATGGTTTGAGGTACGCTAGCTCAGCTACTGATCGGAATCTTCCTATTGCAGCGAGTATTAGTCGATTATCTTCAGTTCTTGAACACGTACTTTTGTATTCCAGTTATTCATTTTTACCGCTAAGTAGCCAACTGATGCAAAGTTTCCAGGTGGAACTTAGAGCCGCTTCTCAGTGCCCCTTAGCTACCTTGTTGCTAAGCTAACATTAGCGGGCGTACTGTTATTAACTAATGAGTGAAGCGATGGCCAACATCAGCAGCAGGATCACGGTGAGTGTTTCCACCTAGCTGTTTATTCAATCATTTAATTATTTCTGCCCTAAGTAAAATTTTGAATCATTTTATAGTATTAAGAAGATGCAGCATGCACTATCACGTAACAGCTGCTGTCATCTCGTATACATTCATTTTTCTAATTAGTAAATTAATGTGGGATGTTGCGCGGAGTTGAGATAAAGATAGATTTACATTTGTTTTCTGGAATAAAATCACATGTTCTGTGTTCTGGGAAAATGTGGTGGCTGGTAACAACTAGAGAAATGCATTTTCTGAAGAAAATGCGTATGGATGCTGAGTGCTGAACGATTGCCCTGAAAATGCTGAACATTTTGATACCTGAAATAGCTGGAAGTATGATGAAGTAGAATTTTCCCATTCATTTGAATCAGGCAAAACGTTCAAAATAAAGCTAAATATTTCAAAGGTATATGGTTTACAAAACTCCTGAAGAGAAGCATGAATGTCCTTGAAGAGCTGAACATTCGGATACCTGAAATAGCTGAAAGTATGCTGAAGTATAATTTTTCCATTCATTTCAATGGGGCAAAACTTTCAAAATAAAGCTAAATATTTCAAAGGTATAAGGTTTACAAAAATCCTGAAGAGAAGCGTGAATGTCCTTGAAGAGCTGAACATTTTGCTACCTGAACTAGCTAAAAGTATGCTGAAGTATAATTATCCTATTCATTTCAATGGAGCAAAACTTTGAAAATAAAGCTAAATATTTCCAAAGTATGAAGTATAGAAAATCTCTGAATAGAAGCATGAATGTCCTTGAAGAGCTGAACATTTTGATAGCCGAAAGTATGCTGAGTGTAGAATTTCCCTATTAATTTGAATGGGGCAAAGCTTTCAAAATAAAGCTAAATATTTCAAAAGTATGAAGTTTAGAAAACCTCTGAATTAGGGCTGTGCAATTAATTGAATTTTTGATTTAGGGGCTCAATAATCACAAAAATGGTGTGATTGAGAAAAAAACGATTATTCCGTTTTTTAAAGTTATTTTGGCCTGCGTTCGCGCATCCGCACTTTCACTTTCGATTTCTCTTTCGCCCTTCCCCTTGCGTATGTCGTATCTGATCGCATTTAAAAATCAGCGTGAGGGAAGATGCCAGAAAAAGAGCAGCCACAGAAGTCTTTGGTCAACAAAAAAAAACACAGACCAACATATGACCAACTAATAAACAAACAGAAAGAAGGACAAACATCCTCCGCAACACAGTCATCAATTAAAGACACGCTCTTCAGTGCAACTCCGTATCCATCCAAAGACACAAAAAAAATAACAGATGCCGTTGGATACTTTTTAGCCAAAGACATGCGCCCTATTAGCACGGTTGAGAACGAAGGATTCAGAAAAATGATAAATACTCTGGTCAAGCGTTATGCTTTGCCATCTCGACACCATTTCACGAGAGTTGCTCTGCCTGCTTTATTTGAAAAATGCCGTGCAGAAGTGGCTAATGAAGTATCAAAAGCAGAGTACTTCACCACCACAACAGACCTATGGTGTAGCCGCACAATGGAGCCATATATTAGCTTAACACTACACTTCATCGATGCCGATTTCAATTTGAATGCGAAATGTCTCCAAACTGCGTTCATTCCTGAAGACCATATTGGGCAAAACATAAGCCCATGGACTCAGAGAAGCTATGGATGCATGGGGTTTAGACGAGGAAAAGCTCACCTGCATCACAACAGACAACGCTGCAAACATAAAGCTGGCAGCTGAGCTAAATGGATGGATGAGGCTTCAGTGTTTCGGGCATGGACTCCACTTGGCCATAGGTGAGTAGGAATCCTTCATACAGATTATATGTAATGTGGTGATTTAATTGTATGTAATTAAGTGATTTTAACAACAACAGTAACAACAATACTAGAAATAATATGCCAAAAAAAATAATTTCTGTGTCACTGTCTCACTAACATTTTACCATTATTATTATATTAGCACTTGAACTACTCTTTGATGCTTTCTTACTCTGTCTTAATAAATGTTGCCTTGATGAGGGTTGCAATTGTCATATAGTTGATACTAAATAGTATTTTTTGTAATTTTAGAGAATGCAATGAAGGATCCTAGGATCGATCGTGCAATGGGGGTCTGCAAGAAGCTCGTCAGCAGCTTTTCCTATAGTTGGAAAAAAAAGAGGGATCTTGCAGAGGCACAGAAGCAGCTGAAGCTACCTGAACACTCCCTTAAAAGAGAATGCCCAACCAGATGGGGATCTGGGCAGGCCATGATAGACAGAGTTCTTGAGCAGTATAAGGCCATTGACCAGGTCCTTTCTAG